TTAAAAAGTGGAATACTTTTAATATTTTAACACACACTACATATTTCTATCATCTCAGACATTCATAAGACATAATTGTTCAGATATTTGGATATGCTATTACTTCTGTGACTCAGATCTGTTGCTGAAAATATAGAATATCATTTGCTGTTTAGACATCTGACAAACTTAAATTACAATCCTGCTGAAAAAAAATCCTCCCCATATTTCTTCTGAAAAATAAATGTAGACAAATTTTGTTGACTGGTTGTATAAACTTTTTGATTTTAACTGAAAAAAGTAGTGAACCATGTGATACCTGATGTGTTATGTTATTGACATTGTGAATAATACTAAAATAATAAATAATAAAAAGTTTTTTTGTATACCACTCTACCACTTGTATCAAACTACAACTTTCAGAGATCCAGTGCATGGCAGTCAAGGTGGTGCCAAATTGCTTTAATTCTACAGTATAGAAAACCCACCAATATATATCCTTCCTTCCTTGTGTAGTGGAAGAAGGTAAAAACATGATGTTTCTTCTTGACATTGAAAATTGTTTTAGTCTCTTCAGAGTATCTCAGAGCAACAAATACTGACTTCCTAAAGTAGGACTACATTTCCTCTCAATTCCTTTGATTGCATATCTATCACAGGTTAGAGCATGTGACCATTCTGCTAGGTACAGTTTGTTCTTGCAGTAGACTATTCATTCAGTCCTGCTGGAAGACAGCCAAGTATGAAACAGAAAGCAACCCATGTATATTTCACCTCTTCACTGTTTAAATGAGGCAGTTTCTTCTTTTGTCACTAGACTTTTAAAAGAAAGTGTGGCAGGGCTAATTTTAGGCCGAACATGTTTTAAAACTGAGTATGTTAAATTTCATATAGTTGTTCCAATAGGAATGCTTGTGTAGATTACTGAAGGGAGATTAGGAGAAAGTTGAAAGTATTTTAAAAACCTGCGAGAGAAATACTCCCGGGGATTTTCACAGTATACCAAACATTTGCAAATACAGGACTTTCTGTTCACGTGAAGGACCACACAAAATAATTTGATTACTTAAGCAATTAGCACATAGCATTGGCAGACTGTTACCAGTTTTCCATTTCTCTGAAAAAAAAAGTCTCAACATTTCACTAAAAGGGAAATAATAATAAGCTGCCTGACTATCTTTTGGAAGTAAAGCTCCTATAAGCTGAAAAATACATAGAGGTCCTCTTAGAAATCCAAGTCTTACTTAAAATAGTTTAATTTAGATAAAAGTTAAAAACTCGGTAAATGCACTTCACATAGACATCCTGTAACACAGCCGTAATAGTTTTGAGAACAGCGTTGTAATTTTTTCCCAGATGGATTTTGGGTACGTGGTTGTGTTGGTGGGATTTTGAAGCAAGTGTAACCTGGGACAGAATAAAACCTAAACATCAACAAGTCAGTTGTTAGAACTGACTTTCTGGAATCTAGGAAGTATCATGTATACACTTAATAGCAAATTCACTTTCTAAGTATGGATCTTAACAGTACCAGAATTTCACTCCTTATGCAGAAAAGTGAAGTATCAACAAAAGCAAAAAGTTTAGCTTTTTTTTAAAAGAAATGCATAAAAACTGCTACAGATTGAGCATGTTCTATGGGTCAGAGAATAGGATGTGCAGAGAATAGGGGGACCTCAGGGAAACAGGAATAAAGTGGATTACTGTGCAACGTATTATAGGTCTTCAGCTTGTAGTGCTTTTAATAGTCTCTCTATAGTGTTTTTCCCATAACACATGGCTTGAAACATATCAATGAAAGCCTTCTTCTGACCCCATCTTTACGGTGTGTGAATTTATGTACTGTGTAATAAGGTAGCAAAAGAAATTAGATCAACTAGTTTCTAAAGCATAAAGAATTCAAAAATATGTTTTATAAAGTTCTCACTTCAGATAAAGTGGAAGACCAGGCAGAGTGGACAGAAAAAATGAAGGGGCTATTCATTTTTTCTTCCCTACTATTTCCTGCCCCAAATTGCATCTTTCTAACTGTCTTTCTCATCCTGGGAGGAAAAAAAAGGACAAGATCCAAAACAGTCCCCTTTCCTCCACTCATTTTAGTTTGGTTACTCTCAGTTTTCTCTTATCAGACAGTGATTGGGGGAAAGAATAAAAGGAATGACATGCAACAGGTAGATCCACTTGTATTCAGTACTATCATTATTTCAGATGTCCAGCTAAATCATTTGCAGAAGAAGTTGTGTGTGCAATCTTTATTGACAGTGTTTGCTTAAGATACTTAAACATTTCCAACCCAGTTAGATTTATTTACCATATGAATTGATGTATAAATCAGCCACATGTATAAGTCCCAGAGCAGGTTTTGAGGCCAAAATTATGGATTTTAATATAACCCATGGATAAGCCAAGAGCCATTTCATGTTGAGGGAAAACCACCAGTGATGCTTCAAGGAGACAGATACCCCTGGCCATAGCTGTCATTTTCTCACCCAGGCATTTAAAAACCCCAAAATGGTGCCATGACGGAGAGAATAGGGTGGGTTGTTTCTTTTTTTTTTTTTTTATAAATTTTTATTGATGTTTCTTTAAAAAAAAAGGACAATTACAAACATCTATGGATCATTAAACAATATACAGTGTATCCAGATAAACACAGAAGAAAGAGAGAGAAAAGAAAAAAAAAACCAACAGACACAAAGGGAGACAAAAAATAATCCAACAAACCCCGACCACCCCCAACTTCAGACAGACAAAAAACATGAAACATGAAACAACTTTAACAAATATAGACTTCCAGATCCCCCCAGGTTGAATAACCTCTCTTTTATGGTTGTTGATTTTGATATTCTTTATAAATATCTATATTTTTCTTTTCTTTCATTTGGTTGTTTTCTTTTCTCTCTTCCTTTCTATCTTTTTTCTCCTTTCCTCCTTCTTATCCTCTTAAGTCTCCGTTTTCTTCTTGAATTTACCTTTGAGAATCTCTTAAAGGTCACTAATATAGATCTCTTTATTTTCTTTTTTGATATAATCTATAAATTTTGTCCAGTCCGTTTTTTGATAGTTCTTATCATTTTGTGCCAATCTTTCAGTGAGCCTGTCCATATTCAGAATATCCATGACTTTCAGTTGCCATTGTTCCTTGGTGGGTATCTCTTTCGTTTTCCATACTCTGGCCAGAATAGTTCTTGCCGCTGTTGTCATGTAAAAGAAAAGTTTATCTGCATTTTTCTCCATCTTACTGTCTGTTATACCTAATAAGAAGGTCTCTGGTTTTAGTTCAATTTTTGTCCGTAAGACGGTCTCTGTTTGTTTCCCTATTTGGCGCCAATATTCTTTAACTTTCTTGCACTTCCACCACATGTGGATGAAATTCCCAGTTTTTTTCCCACACTTCCAACATTTTTCTCCTGTTTTTTCTTTGTTGATCTTTGCTAATATTTCTGGTGTTAAGTGCCATCTATAGAATAACTTGTACCAGTTTTCCTTTATTTCTGCTGCATACGAATATTTCAGTTTTTTTCGCCATATTTCCTCCCACTCTGCCATGGATATTGATCTCTCTACATCTCTAGCCCACTGCACCATGTTTCTTTTTACCTGTTCTGTTTCCGTATTCCATATTAGTAGTTGTTTGTAAATTCTACTTATCATTTTTGTGTCCGTTTTTATCATCTTGTCCCAGAATCCCTCCTTTGTTTCAAAACCTGTTTTTTGTCTATGTTGAAATTTTCCCTAATTTGGAAGTAATGATACCATGAGATTGTTGGATCCAGTATCCTTAATTCTTCCAATGACTTAAGTGTCACTCCTTGTGTGTTTATTTTCAGTAGTTGTTTGTATACTAGCCATTTATCTCGGGGTATTTCTTTAATATGGTTAGCCTCATTGGGTAAGAACCATAGTGGTGTTCTTATATATAATCTATCCTTGTATCTTTCCATACTTGGATTAGTCCAGATCTTATCACATGGTTCTTAAAGTTTCTCTCCTTTTCTGCCCTGCCCCTCCAAAGGTATCCATGCCAACCTTGGACTAAATCAAACCCTTCCAGGGTTAGTAATTTCTTCTTCTCCAGTGTTGTCCATTCTTTTATCCAGTCCAGGGCGGCCGACTCATAATAGAGTTGGAAGTTGGGCAGGGCAAGTCCCCCTCTATTTCTGTCGTCCGTTAGATTAACAAAGCTTATCCTATGTTTTTTTCCCTGCCATATAAACTTTCCTATATCTTTGTGCCATTTTTTTATCATTGTTTTTGATCTTACTATTGGCAGTGTTTGGAATAAAAACAGGACTTCTGGTAGTATATTCATCTTTATGACGGATATTCTCCCAAGCAGTGATAAGTTTAGATGTTCCCACTTCTTCATTTTTGTTTTAATTTCTGCCCATCTTTTTTCATAATTATTCTTTATCAGCTGTGTGTTCTTAGCTGTAAATATTATTCCCAGGTACTTTGTCTTATCAACTACTTTCATTCCTGCTATCTTCTCTAGTTCTTCCTGCTTCTTCTTATTCATGTTCTTAGTGATGATTTGTGTTTTATCTTTATTTATTTTTAGGCCCGCATTTCCAGGCTGTGTCAGTCCAATTGATAAGGCACCAACCCGCTTCTAGCTGCTGGGTTGAGGGAGCATACGCTCTACCAGGGGTGTTTAGCTGGTCGGTTCCCTCAGAGCTCTAGAGAACCGTGGCGGCCGCCATCTTGCCGCTACCGGAAGTCGGTTGTTTCTTCTTTTAAATGCTCCTGAGGTAGACTAAGCCACTCTACTCAGCGAAGGGGATAGTTCACTTTTTGATAAGATTTGCGTACAATACCCACATTCACTTGGAAATAAAACCACCATGGTATTTTTGGGTTGATTGCTTGACTAGCATTTCTAGACTTATACATGGGTATATCGGGTATATTTGGTTGCTCAATAACTCAATAAAAAGCTAATCCCATGTTTATCTTTTTTACAGGAATTATAACACTATATATTTCCACATGCTTCATTTTTCTTTTTCTTCTGTTTTCAGAATGATGACCTACACAACCTCAGAAAAAGCCCTTCTTTGAACTCATGGGTATCCAGACTGTTTTGTGTATCACAACTAGGACCTCACATCTTCTTCCTCAGTAGATGGGTACGATGCCTCCAGTTCAATTTGTTTACTTTACACAGACCTCAGGAGTTAGTTGACTGAACTGCACATTTTTTTTCTTCTTCAATTTTTTGTGCCAAGCAAAAGCACTGTGACCCCTGGACGACAAGTCTGCAATTACTTTCTCCTCCACCATAAAGACTTAGTTGGCTACAGTGAACTCATATGCCCATCCCCGTAATAACGGTGAGCATGGGTATACTACTAGCTCAGAAGACACAGATTTTAAGTTGCTGCTGAAAAACCTGTACGACAAATCATCAGTGTAAATTATTACATACAAACTGTTAATGTTGGTTGAAGAGTATTAAATATTTAACATAGGTTTTTGATTTATACATGTACTTTTTTAATTAAAATGTAACTTTTCCTACAGCACATCTTTTTTTGATGTGGAACTGAGGTATATTATATTCTGTTGTAAACAGAGTGGGGTTAGGGTGGGGTATGCTTAAAACCAGTTGATTTAAGAATAGAGTAGGGTACTATTCTTTTTTAAGATTGTAAGTCAGAATATAATATAATATGGATCAATGGCCCATGGATTGTACAGTCATATTTGCTGGTACCGTAATTTGTAAAATAACCCTAAAATTGAGCTGAATTCTTTCAAATAGAAAATAATATTTTGTACTCTCCCTGTAAAACATAAGGCTGTATTAATGAAAGGAAAACTTAACTGTGCATGATATATAGAAGTGTGAATTTGAAACTGTTGGTTGCACAGGAACCTAAAAAACATGAGAAAAATAAATCTAAGTCTTCCATTGTATATATATATATGTATGTGTATATATATATATATTGAAGAAAAACAAAAACAAAACACAGGCAAACTCTTCAAATTGAAATATCCCTGGAATGAAATATGTCGGTGTTTGTAAATTCTGGAAATCTCTTTCTATACTTAATAAACTAGATACCGTTTTATCTTTATTTCTCCTGCTTTCATTACTCTTCTTTCAGTTGTACTAGTTTTTTTATACATGTCCATTTGGGAAGTGTCCTTGCATTCTTAGAGATGAGATTACTAATTCTAGATTGTTACTTTAGAATCAATATTTAAAATGCTGGGAGCAAGGGAGGTGATAATAAAATAATTTACAAAATTTCTCAGAATTCTCATATTTCTCTACACTGGATCTTACTGAAACCCTGGCACTGTGTCTTCTCACAACCTTGTTTTATATTGGGAATTGTGTGGTTTCTTCACTATTGAGAGGGTTAAAATGTACAATTGTACTAGGTTATGTATTCTAGAAGACAAATAAATGTTGCTATTTTTTACTCTCTTGTACAGTATATCTTATGTGTTTCACTGAAACACTTCAATCATCTCCTATCCAGCTAGTTTCTTATGTGAAAGAGTAAAACAAATTATTTTTGTGTCCTTCCCAAATTATTTTTCTAACAATTGGTGGCAGCCACTCACTTCAGTACTCTTAAGTGGAATTTGGGATGTGGCTGCAAAGCAATATAGAAAATAGACCCAATCTGTATGTGTAAAGTGATCCTCAAAACCATAAAATAATTATAAAGATAGAGAGGAATAAAGACTATAAACAATCCATTAAAATTCCATTTTAAAGTGACTATTCCCATTTATAAAAACGTTAACCAAGCCTTTGAGTCGTGTACACTTAACCTAGAATTCTAAATGCATCAGAAATAAGGCACTCCATTAATATGTATTATCTTAAGTATTGTTAGATCATTCTTCCTGTTCTAGTTCAAAACTGCAATCTTAAGCATACTCATGTGGGAGTATAAAATATCTTGAATACACATGCAAAAATTTGTGTGTCATCACTAGGTGGTTTGTTTTTTGAGTCACTGGAATGCTGATTCCAACCAGCCATTTTTGATGGTCCTTTGCAGCAGATCAGGGGGCTTCATAGTAATGTCCAGTAAAAGAGATATAGCGTACTAAGCTGCACCTGTTATGTTTTTAAAATTGGCCTCCCACAGATTTGGTTTACCCTTCAAATGATTAGTTATTGTACATTACATGCATGATTATATTTCACTGCATGGGAAGATTTCAGTCTTGCTCACAGAAGTTCAGTGATGTGCCAGTTGAAGCTAATGCAACCATATCCCAATGCAAGTGCCATAACTCTCCCTGCCTGTCTGATTGAACACTGCTTGCTTCCTGTGGAGGAAGACATTAAATCATTATATTGGCTGCTGCAAGAAAAAGATAGACTACTAGATCCCTAACAAATACTGCCTCAGACATATTGCTGTCACAACACAGTGAAGAATATATGCAGTTTTATTCATACATTTCCTCTTAGCAAGAATAACTTTCATTTGCAAACACTTATAAATATAAATATGCACCCTTGTCTAGTATTGGCTGGCTTTATTAGGGGAAGGTGTCATACTAAAATACCTGGAAAATATTCAGAATTACATACAGCATGTCAGAAATAAACAAAGTCTTTTGTTGCTTCATTTGCCAAAAGTTTTGCCACCACTGGAACGTTTAGAAAACATTACACAGGTATTTATAAAGATTTAGTGGGAACAATGGTCTGCAGACTAAAGCAATCTTAGAATATTGAACTACCTATAGCCATGAAATGCACAAACACAGTCCAAAATTTGTTCCTGGGATTAGGTTTTAGACCAACACAAAAACTGTGTTCTGATAACAAATCTACAAAACGTATGTTTCAAAAATGGCAAGGGTTTGGTAAAGTTTCTCTCTTTTTTGATAACAGGTCCCAGAATCCCCAGGATAGAATAGACAGTGGCTATGCCTCCTTTGGGACTTTAGAAGTTGCCAACCAAAAGAATAACCTTTCTAAACTGAGTGTACTGTTATTGATGGTCAGTGACAGTTGTGGTCATCAAATGTTTTATTAATGGTAGATCAAAGACAGTTGTCCTTGAATCTCCCAACAGATCTCCAGAGTTTCTGTTGCTCATAGCCAACTTTTCCTGGGGACTGGGTGTAATTTGTGTTTTCTGTACTTTTGGATTGACTAAAATTAACAACTCTGTTTTACTTCCTGGTGGCTTCTCTTGCCTAGACTGCTGACTTGTTACAATGGTTCCTAGACCAGCTGATGGCCATCCTCTTATTTTCCCCTTGGTCATTTTGGATAAACTGTGGCTGTCCTGGACTGAATTAACTACTCAACAGATCTTACCTAGTTCCTGGGTTTCTTGCTGCCTGGAACATGGGATCATGTTACCTGTCATTCTTCTGCAAGCTAACATATCCAGTTCCCTAAATTGTTTCTGATAAGGTTTGGTTTCCAGAGTTTTGATCATCTTGAGCACCCTTCTCGACATCCTCTAGGTTGTCAGTATCCTTGAATTGTGCTGTCCAGAACTGAACCTAGTACTCCAGATGGGATCTGATCAAGCAGAATAGAGTGGTGCTATTGCTTCCCTTGATGGTCATACTATATTCCTGCTAATACAGTGACTCTGGGAGCATCTAAACTGTAAAATTAATGCAATTTGACACTAATTCTAGTGCCATTGCTCAGTGCTGAGGAATTTTGAGTGTCTGGTAAGGCACCATCACTCTTGGGCAGAGAAGGCTCAAGACTTTGTAAAACTACAACTCCAGGGATTCTATGGCATTGAACCTAGTCTGCAACAATAGGAGTATAATGTCTAGATTGAGAGAAATGATAGTCCCACTGTATTCTTAATCACTCAAACCTCACCTGGAATACTGTTCAGTTTTGGGCACCATAATTCAGAAAGGATTTTGAAAATCCAGAACGTTCCCAGAGGAGGGTGACCAAAATGGATGCTAAGCTCTATGAGGAACAACTTGCTGTTTTTAGCTTGGAGAAGAGGAGCTTGAGAAGGGGACATGATAACCATTTTAAAATATTTTAAACAGATGTCAGATTGATGAGGCAATCTTGTTTGCTGCTGTTCTGGAGACTAGGGCACAGCAATGGATTCAAATTGCAAAAAAAAAAAAATCCATCCAAACATTAGGAAGAACTTGTTAATCTGTGAATATGCTGCCACAAAGTGTAGTGGAGTCTTCAAAAGAAGTTTTTAAATAGACCAGATGACTATCTGTTGAGACTGCTTTGATCGTGTGTTCCTGCAAGGTACGGGGTTGGATTGTGGTGTCTTCCAACTAGAATTATGTGAACTATGGCAGTTCACATATTGTCAAACTGCATCCTCTGTCACTTGTTGGCCGGTCTTATTCTAGGTAAGTGTGCTAGATATGGGTTTTTGCAGTACAGTGTTCCCCCGCTGTTTTGCGGTTCGCTTTACGTGGACTCGCTGTTTCGTGGGGTTTTTAAAAAACAAATATGAATTTATTGGGGGCTGAGTCGGGGAAAGAGGAGGAACAAGGGAAGCCACCAAGAACAAAGGAAGCATACCACCACCTCCTTCCTGCTCCAGCAGCTCCTTGGACTGCTGTTGCTGCTGATGACGCTTCCCGCGAGCTCTCCCTCCCTCCGGCTCCGGCTCCTGGCCTGTCTGCCTGCGCTGTGGGCCATGGTGCCCAGCAAGGAGAATCAGCTGGTCCCCAAAGAGGTGAGTGGGCACGAGGCCAGAGGCCCAAAGGCACTGGAGGCAGAGGGAACAGGTTAGGGAGGGCGAGGGTCCATGCACCTTTTTTTCCAGCTGGTTCTGCCTGAGGTGCAGGCAGGCCAGGAGGTGGGGGCGGAGGGAGGGAATGCTCGCAGGAGTCATCAACAGCAACAGCAGGTCTTGGCCACACAGGCATGCTCTTTCCCTTCCCCCTCCCAGCCTCGCCTCGATGCTAGCCAAAGTGATGGAGATTAGGAAGGAGGAAGAGGAGGAGTGGAGGGGGAGCCAGGTGTCCTTGCATCATGGGCCTGACCTTTCCTCGGCGGCCTCACCTCAAAACCCACCAAAGGCAATGGAGATTTAGGAAGGAGGAAGAGGAGGGGGAAGAGGAGGAGGAGGAGTGGAGGGGGAGCCAGGCGTCCCTATATCACGGATTTTTACTTATCGCGGTTGCTCCTGGAACGTAACACCCGTGATGAGGGAACACTGTACAGTTGTTCAATTATGATGCCATAACTCACTTTTTTCCTGTGACATGTTTGATTCATAATTATTCAGGTGGTGAGGAGAGCACTGTTGTGGTCAACCTGCAGATTATATATGGGAAAATTCCCGAATAATATTGCTTTTAGTGGATATATGGAGTGATCTGGTAAGGCATGCAAGATTCACAAGGCCCCTTCCGCACAGCTGTATAAAATTCCACATCTGCTTTGAACTGGATTATATAGCAATGTGGACTCAGATAAACCAGTTTAAAGCAGATATTGTGGATTATCTGCCTTGATATTCAGAGTTATATGGCTATGTGGAAGGGCCCCAAGACACATTTATCTGGTAGCAAGCCCAGTTGAACATGGGAAGCTTACTTTGAAGTAAACACTGTCTACAATTGTATAACCCTGTTAAGTCTCTCACCCAGAAATAAATTCCATTCAACTCCTAGTAGTATGTGTATTTGTTTGCAACTCACCAACATGACCCTTTGTGTGTATATGCATGTGGAAGTAAATTCCATTGTGTTACCTAGGATTTATCTCACATGTATGTGTATACAACTAACTCAGAGCTATTTTTAAGATGAGAGGATAATATTGACAAGCAAATTGAATAATGATGGATGGAGGAAACATTGCCTTCTCCTTGCAAGTAGGGAAAACCAATAACAACTTGTCTGCCAATATTGACTATCCCTATTTAAACTGTTTTTAAGATGGGTCAGTATTACGAGTTGTTATTGATTTTAACTACATGCAGGGAAAAGGAAGATTTTCCCCATCCATTGTTATGCAAGCATTCTTAAGTAGAAAGACTCTTAGCACAAGATCCTATTGGTGCCCTTCATATATTCAGTGTAACTTATTCAAAAGAGTGTACAGAATAGATTCCAGGCCAACTTTGTTAATTCCTTA